CTTACGGCTGTTGACTTGGCACATAAATAATAAAGAATTGAATTATTATTATTATTATTATTATTATTATTATTATTATTATTATTATTATTATGCACACTGTGTGCATGCATATAATTTTGAGGAATTCAAAGTCAGAGGTCAAATTTGAAGACCTGGAAAACATCTGTGCTGAATATATTGGTGTAATACGTTACTGGAAAGGATATTTTATTAGGTTTGAAACTACAGGGTGAGTCATATAGAACCGGCCTGACGAAATGAGCTGTAATATAAAATATACCATACAGATATTGAAGTAATTTACACATATCTTATCTTGGATTGTGTGCCGTTATCAGAGCAGGTGTTGAAAGTGTCCGCCGTTTTCAAGTAGGCACTAGAAACACTCGCTGTTCAACAGTGTACTCCATGACTGTCGCCTGCGTACTGCAGACACGTTTCGGGAGTGTCCTTGACCTTGCAGCATAAGGGCTGCCACTTGCTGGATCATGCGCACACCATTCGACTCAGCACAGCCCACAGATTATTATGTCGTAATTGTGAGCGGTTATATGCATCACCTGCGGAATTATTAGCAAATTCATCGGGCCGGTTCTATATGATTCACCCTGTAGTATGGAATGATCTCTGTATTTCACCTGGGGCAGAAGTTATACCACTTTTGTAAGACAACTTATTTCCAAAAATGAGTTTTTTTTCCCTCATCTTTGGATATTGTTTTCAAAATTCTAATGGTCATGAATCAGTCAAATTGTCGTGTATACTACTGTCCACTGGAACTACATGGTTACAAAAATTGCTTAACTCTGAGGTGGTCAGGTATGAAATATAATTTTTATTTGTTGGTGTAGATTGACCCCCATTTCATGTTCAGTTTCAATGATCCCAACTCCATAATCTTAGTGTTAAATTAACTTCATTCAGAGTTATCCTCAGTTTAGTGTTTGAATCCATTGCTCTTGAAAGAAATCTGTATACCAAGTGGCAGGTGTGATTAAGTCAAGCAAATGAAAATGTCCTGGTGTATTCGCTGAAGCAAAGTCAAGGAACATAGAAATAGTGTATGTATACTCTTCTCAGAGGGCTTAGGCTTTTGATGTGCTGCTTTTCTTTTATGGATTCTCTGTTAGTATGTACCTGTGTGTAAAGTACTATTGTATGTTGATTATTAAGGGAAGTTCCATCTCATCAGTAAGAATGGCAGAATTGAGAAAAGTGTGGATGCCCACCAAGGAGCTGCTTTGACTGGACGTTGGAGTTATGATGGTGCTGGGTTACTAACTGGTAAGATGTTTGCAGTACAGACCACATACCATATACACTGCATGTACAGATTACAGATGTTCTTAGTTGTATTTAACCCTTACTCTTCAAATGGGCCGTGCCATAGCTCAAGCGGTTAGTCGCTGGCTTCCCACTGTGGCAGCCCAGGTTCGATCCTGGGTCTGGTGAAGTGGGATTTGTGGTGGACAAAGTGGCGCGGGGGCAGGTTTTTTCTGAGTACTTCGGTTCCCCCTGCCAATTTTCATTCCACCAGTTGCTCCACAACCACCCTCACCTATCATTTGGGACTGGTACAATAGGCCAGAAGTGGCCGCAGTACAAGGTCCTTAGTCCCGCCCCATTGGCAATAAAAAATACTCTTAAAATGTAAAATTGTTGTGGCATGTGCCTCCAGTTATGGATAATTTGATGTTCCTGACCTCTATTTTCCCCGGCAGTGATACAGGATTTCCTTTCTGAGATGGTACTACCTGCTGTCCATGAAGTGACAGTAATTTCCTGATATTCCCCATATTTATAAGGTTTTCTGCTCATCAGATGTGATGAATGGAAAAGGCATCATGGAAATTCTCACAAGGTCTGATTGGTAATGAATCTGAGATTTTGGAATGCAAGTTCTAAACCAGTGTAGCACATTCATATGGACAGTAAGATTATTTGGCAGCTGCGCCAGGACCCAGCCTTTCCACTGCATGGATTACTGCACAGATTTTCCTTTCCTACCCAGCAGCATCATAGAATGAAGGGTACTGGCCCACCTACATTATTCCCAGTACATATATCTTAGAATGAATTATATCTATCTAAACACAGGACTAGTAATCATGACTTACGGTATGCTTAGCGTATGACAGATTATTTTTCATTCATTCATTTATTCACATTCCATAAAATCCTTACAAGGTTGAAATAACCAATAGATATAGAAATCATCCAGAAATATAAACTCATTTTGCTTAGAAATCAAGCAGTTATCAGTATAACAAGTTTATAGTATACAAGATCTAAATCACACCTAAAAGTTTATCTTGAAAATAATAAGTAAGACATTGACAATTTTAAGATAAAAAATTCAGTCCAAATATTATTTACTAATCATGCTTATACGTGGGGCAATCCAAAAGTTACCGAAATTTGAATTTTGCGCTCGAATGGTTATGAGTACATCGAAATACCGCTAGGTGTCTCCTCACACATCCTTCTTGAATCAGTGTGGCAAGCGGCGTCGAGTTGAGTGGTTGGGTTTATTGTTGGTGAACTTATTTCCATTGTTGTGTTTCCGTGAGTTTGCAGTTTTTCAATGGCTGACCTGAGAGAGCAGCGTGTCTGTATGAAGTTTTGTTTCAAACTTGGGAAAACTGCTGCAGAAACGCACCAAATGTCGAAGCAGGCTTTTGGTGACAACAGTTTGGGCCAGACACACACTTATGACTGGTACAAGTGTTTCAAAAATGGCCGAACATCAACTGATGATGATGATCGTTCGGGATGGCCATCAGCTGGCACCACACCAGAAAATGTCACAAAAGTTAGGGATCTGATTCTGACTGGCCATCCAGTCTGCCTCTGTAACACCTTGAGGCAAAGTTGTGGTACATGTCAACGAATTTTATCAGAGTAACCGAACATGAGGAGGATTGTGGTGAAGTTTGTGCCACGACCGCTGCAAAATGAACAGAAAAAGCATCACTTGGAAGTCTGTAGAGAACTTCAGCAACAGCTTCAAGAGGATCCAAACTTTCTTTTGAAGGTTGTCACTGGTGACGGAAGTTGGGTTTATGGCTATGACCTTGAAAGTAAGCAGCAATCGTCGCTATGGAAGAACCCTTCTTCACCTCGGCCAAAAAAAGATCGACAAGTCAAGAGCAACGTTAAGTCCATGTTGATCTGTTTTTTGATATTGATGGGATTGTTCATAAAGAGTTCATCCCTCCTGGTCAGGCAGTCAATAAAGAGTTCTATCGCAATGTTCTAAGGCGTTTGAGAGTGGACATGAGAAGTGGCGCACGAACAACTGGGTACTCCACCATGACAACGCACGACCACATACGGCTTACATTGTGCAGGAATTTTTTGCTAAAAACAAGATGGCAGTTGTTCCCCACCCACCGTACTCGCCAGACTTAGCTCCATGCGACTTCTTTCTCTTCCCCAAGATGAAAATCAAGTTGAAGGGGCGAAGATTTGATGCAGTTGAGGAAATTCAAGCGGAAACGCAGACGGTACTAAACACCCTAACAAAGAAAGACTTCCAGGATGCATTTAAAAAGTGGCAGAAACACTGGGATCGGTGTATGCGCTCCCAAGGGGACTACTTTGAAGGTGATGGTGCAGAATAAGATCTAGGTAAGATGTAATAGTTTTTATTAATATATTTCGGGAACTTTTGGATTGCACCACGTACAATAAGACAGTTATTTAAAAACCAGTTTATAATATAAGACAAGTTTGAAAGTTGAATATAATTAGTCGTATTACAGTAAACAATTTACAGTATAAGATAAAGGTAATAAAGAATACAATTAATAATATTTACAACTTTAAAACGGTATAATCAAATAAGATCTGTTATAACAGATAATTCAAGTAATTTACAAAAAAAGCTTTAGTCAACTAACATATTGGTTAAAATTTCAATTAAATAAAATTATACAGGCATTATCTCATAAAAAATCTTCCACTGTATAAAAAGAACTAAAATACAAAAATTCCTTTAAATTGCCCTTAAACCTTTCTATATCATTAGAAATTTCCTTAAGTGTATCAGGAAGTGCATTGTCTACTTTTACAGCCATATGATACACTCCATTTCCATATATCGCCAAATTAACCTGGGTCATATGTATATCCGTAATGTGTCTAGTATTTATTTCATAGTGAACTTTGTTTGTATCCATTATTCTTCTGTTTTTTAGTACAAACATCATCAAGGTGTATATATATTGTGTTCTTAAAGGAAATATATTCATATCCTTAAAATGTCTTCTACATGAATCTCTTGAGCCACATCCTTTCATTATTCTTACAACTCTCTTTTGCAACTTAAAAACTCTTTCGGCATAAGACGAGTTACCCCAAAACATACCGTTTGACATGACAGAATGGAAATGTTAAAAATAAACACTTTCTAATGTTTTCATGGAGACCATTTGTTTTACATTTCTTATCATATAGCAGGCCATACTCAATTTTTTACTTATGTCTTGTATATGACCATCCCAAGTTATGTCATTTTGGATAGTCAGGCCAAGAAATTTTGTGTATTAGCGCATGTTATAATAGTACCAAGATCTCCCATATCGTTGTCACACCTAATTTTTCCAGTGAAATTTATATAATATGTTTTTATTATATTAAGAGACATTAAATTCTTTTTGAACCAATCATCCAATATCCTGAATACTTCATTTTTTGTGGTTTTGAATTTTATTGTATTGGCATGAGAAATCAACATACAAGCATCATCAGCAAAAAGTATTGGAGTACTCATCACCTCCAATATTTTTGGTAAGTCATTTGTATAAATTATGAACAGCAGTGGTCCCAATATGGATCCTTGGGGGACACCGTTGGTTATTTTAGCTCATCTTGAGTTTACTTTGCTACTATCTAATCCATTGAGAATGCCAGTTCTCTGTTTTCTATCTAATAGATAAGATTCATATAGATTATATTTTTTGTCCTTTGTTCCATAATACCTTAATTTGTTTAATAATATTTCATGACTAACACAATCAAAGGCTTTCTCCAAGTCGCAAAAAATCCCACTGACTTGCATTTTTTTATTTAAAGAGTCTAGTATTCTCGAAATTAGACAATAGCTTGCATTATCAGTCCATTGATTTTCTCTAAATCCAAACTGATATTTACTTAGTATATTATTTTCTTTCAAATGTTTTAGCTGTCTACTATACATCACCTTCTCAAAAATTTTATTAATGGGTGTTAATATGGAAATGGGTGTATAATTAAATACCAAGCTTTTATCACCTTTTTTATAAATAGATATAATAGTAGCATATTTTAATCTATCAGGGAAAACACCCTTGAACAAAGCCTTGTTACATAAGAAACTAATAGGTTCACTAATAAAAGTTTTACAGATTTTAAGTATATTATTCGATATTTCATCATATCCATGTGATTGACTTGATTTGAGGGACAGTATTATCTTTTCAGTTTCCCTACTCATAGTTTTAGTTATGTTAATGCTCGGGATAGGTCTCTCAAAAGCATTAGTCAAGTACGTCATGTAGTCATAGGTTTGGATTTGTCATTTAGACCATTATCTTTAATGTGTTTATGTATGTTATCAGCTACATCAGTAAAATATTTATTGAATTTATTAGCAATATCATTCATGTTAGAAGTCATTTTGCCTTCAGTATAGATTGTATGTATATATACTTTTGGATCACCCATAGCAAAAAGGATGTATGGCAGCACCACCATTGGATAGCCTCTCTGTATTTATGCCAGTCTTTCTGAGTAGCTGTAGTTGTTCCTCTGTTAAATACAAGCAGCATCATTTTGTTTTTGTCCTTAGCTTTAGTGATAGTAAAATTAATTAATTAATTAATTATGGGTGCGCCTTGGCTGACCCTTGAACCACGATCATGAGAGATCTATCATGCACCCCCTCTGTTTCAGCCCTCCAACAATCCTGCACTTCAGATGAAGTGTACAGAGGTGTCTTGGTAGTCATGCTTCCATAAAGTAATGGCCCAGGTGATGACAGCTTAAGTAAACCATAGCCTGACAGTCACATAGGTTATGTGTGGCTGATTCATCTTTTTGTAGGCATCTTTTGCAAATGGGAATGTTCATTAATCTAACTTTGAAAAGGTGTCCTTTCAAGTGATATTGTCCTGTTGGCATTGATAGTAAAAAAATATCAGTACATATTTATCACATTGGCAGTAAATGACAAAGACAGCTGTAGTTACAGCACTCTCTGATAGCCCTTTCCCACAAGGGAGAATTGCGGAAATCAGCGTCTCAAAACCTGACATGGACTGGTGAGGTTCATTCAGTTTTCTTGTTATATCAGCTGGTGAAGATGGCCAAGTTAAAATTTGGTCTCGAAGTGGAATGTTACGCTCAACTATTGTGCAGTCAGACACACCAATATATAGTGCTGCATGGGGACCAGACTCCAATCAAGTTCTACACACTTCTGGAAAAATGTTGATCATCAAACATCTTACTCCAAACAGCAAACCTAATAAGGTTAGGTGCATCTGTAATTTTTAGTATAGCTATTTGAAAAGCCCGCAAGAATTTGACATAATAGAGTGAATGTTACTTCTTGTAACTTACCACTTTCATGATGGAGTGAGTTTGTTTATTATTCTCTGGGAAGTCCTTCTGGTGTAGGGTAATTGAATGAACAAGAAGGATATGTGGTGTGTATGAGGGAGAACAATAAATATGTTCATCACTTTAGTTTGGAATTATTATGGAAAAAGACCACTTCAGAGAATAATATTGAAATGGGTTGTCATGGAAATTGGTTGTGTAGATATTAAAGTGAATTGAACTGGCTCAGGATCAGATCTGATGGAATGTATTTTTAATATGATGATGAACATTTCAGTGCCATAATGACAAAGAATTTATAGGTCAGCAGAATAACTGACATCTACATACTTAAGGGAGACTGTTATGTATTTAGTGAATTTGTTACTTAGCAAGTGATCTGTGAGTTTTTTGTGGAGTATAATTTTTATTTAGATCAAGGCATTTCCTTTTTCAGTGGAGAGCACATGATGGCCTTATATTGAAAGTGGCATGGAACCCAAGTAACAATCTCATCATATCTGGAGGCGAGGATTGTAGATACAGAGTAAGTAATTTCATAAAAAATCTTGAAGATTGAAATTTAAGTTATTAAAGTTTTCTTTTCACTTTATTTTTATGTAACTTTCATTATTTGTGGTTTGGAAGAAAATGTGTTCCTGTTACAGCTTTGCATCAAAAGAATTTCTGTGGAAACTAACCTCCACTTGTGGTACACATAATACTCAGTCAATGAGAAATGTGGCTTGCTTTACAGAATTTCATGATACAGACACATTTTCAATATCACATTCCTTCTGCAATGCAGAGGCATGATTTGCAGTGGTAAGAATAAAGTCTTCTGGGTTGTGAAACCATATAGTTTCTTAGATGGTTGCCAATGTTTCAGAGCAACCTACTGCCTCCCACTTCATCATAGAAGTACTTGAACATAGATGTACCCTTCTACCCTGAAAATGGAGACAGCGGGTTCTTCCTAAACCTTAGTCACCAACTGTGAAAGTACACAGTGTCATAAAGCATAAGACCACAATTGCAGTTTTCATTGCAGTGGAAATCTCAGATCTCGTCTTATGCAGGACTGTCTTTCCAGGTGTGGGACATTTATGGCAGGCAGTTGTACTGCAGCCAGCTGGATGATTACCCAATTACATCTATTTCCTGGGCTCCAGGTGGAGACCTGTTTGCTGTTGGTTCTTATAACACATTGAGACTGTGTGACAAAACAGGGGTTAGTTACTGATTATTTCCTTTATTCTAGAAAGGATCCATTAGTTTTTCATGTCCATCCAAATGCATGTATTAGCACAAGTTATGGGACTATTTTAAGTTGAGCCTTACATGATAAACCTTAAATTTTGTCGAGGTATCCTTGTTTTATTGTACTTTAGTTTACTTTAAAGATGACTTTACTGAATGGCTTAATTAAACTTTTGCATATATATATATATGTTGAGTTTGTTCACGGATTGTAATGAAATTTTATTGTACAAGTAGTACCACCCAAAATGTATGCCAGTTTGTGTGTGTACATGCACGTGCACACATGTGATGGTACAGCATAGCTTCTGAGAAAAATATGTGTGAAGCTCTCCTATTTGGTGAAAGTAACTGATGAATCATGCAGCTAAGGATTTGAAATTTAGTGTGAAGATTATGTATAAATGTAGCTACAAATTTTGTGTGACGCCTTTCCATGTGTTAATTATAAACAAGGGAGTTAAGTCTGGCAACATTTGCATAAAGGGGATGAGAAATAGGTGGCAGTTGTGTAACTGTTAGTATACAATTCGTGTTAGCCTCTCAGTACAGACGANGAATTTAAATGACCACGTCAAAGGGTTAAAGGGAAGTTGGTATAAAAGTCAGTGAGAACTGCTTGTTATTTTCTGTGAGGTTCCGTCAGTATTTTCATAATCGTAAGATTCAAAAAAGTTTCAGAGACTTTGATAGAGGAAATATGTCTCTTAAAGAATGCTGCAGTGCAGTGGTTTGCTTTGCATTCAATATTTCAAATTTCTACAGGAGACTAGCTGTCCAGACTCAGTTGCTGTGTGGTTTTCCTCAGTATTTCCAGGAAAATAGTGTCAAAATATAACACAGACCCTACTGTAACTTTCCCAGTTTATTACACATAATTATCCTGCCATTCAACAGTATATAATATGTAAAGTAAAGTGGTCTCTGGGCTTAACTAATTAA